TATGTATGTATGTATGTATGTATGTATGTATGTATGTATGTATGTATACAAACACACACACACTTAAATGGATGGAAAAATTCCTTAAAATTTTGTACATATTATTTAATCACTTAATAGACGGTCATAATCATAAATAAAACTTTTATTAATTGAAAAAATATATCAAATACATAATCTTATCAAGTTCAGAAGATAATTTTATAAAATGCTGTATAAGCATTCTTAACACATTCTTATGCAAAACATTAGACTGAATCTGAAAAGTTTACTACTATACAATAAGAAATTACCGTAACTATTCAATTCACCATACCACTTTAACAGCTGTAAATATTCGTTCTCAGACATATAGTTCTTTTTGTGTACTTCCATGTAAATACAGAGGTTTGCATTAGAAATTGTACAAAAATAGCATATAAAACTATCTCCATACCATAAAAAAAGTGTTCATGCACATGCCTAGTTTGGCGGAGTTGACACTGTGCAGAAGTATCTCCACGTAGACTGATTCAGAGTGGAAATACAGAGGCATAAGGAATTTATGACTATTTAAAATTTGCATCAGTGTTGTCTCAGAAGTAATCAGGCATCTCTCAATGAATGCACTAGAACAGGGGAAGTATCTATGGTGGTAATGATATGGAGGTATGGTAGTTTCCTACAAGGAGATGGTAGGAAACAAAATATCAAGCCCCTTGGATTTCAGGTGGTCCGACATGATAAAGACTAGCTACATGGTTAAATGTTCAACAGCTCAAGTAAATAATTCTGAAATATATTCATTACCTGCACGAATCATGTTAATTAGAATGCCAGAGTTGCCTGTTCTCTGATTGGAACATTACTGCGAAACACCCTGATCTAGGGGGTAGACTTTTTTGGACATTTGACATTTGTGCTTTTGCTTTATATCGTAGATTGATAACTTCTTTAAAGATTGACTAATAGCAGCTTTAGAGATATCAACATTGATACCTCTTGATGTTTCAATAAGAAAACTGCAGAACTCTAGATAAAGCATTTTTTTAAAAGTTGTTGCTGGTTCAGCAGTGTTTTTGAGGGAATTTGTTAAATTAGCTTAGGAGGTGGGCTAGAAAGCTGAAGGAATATTGGCAATTTAGTGGATAAAGAGATTAACACATATTCCAGAAAAATGTGTATCACACTGACAAATAAACCAATCCCACTTCTCAATATAAAATATCTAAGGATCACTAAAAAGTATATTATAGGTTAAAAATGTACAAGAAAATGACATATCCCTTGTGGGTCTTCCATAAGATTTGATTACTCAGAGGTATGAATTACCCTAGGAAGACACACAAGGAATATAAATCCATAAATAGTGCATTCTGAAGGAGAGTACCAACTTTTCCAACATGTACAAAAAGTAAAGCAGCACTTTTCCCAAAGAAATTACATGTGAGTGCTAGAGAGTGTTGTTTGATCATTATTCATGCGCATATGGGAGTATATGTTCATACACGCTAAAAGTTAAACTGAAATCTATATAATAGCAAAATAATATATAGTTCAAAATAAAGTACTTCAGAATATTTGGTTACTATGTTATTAAAGAGGCTGATTATAATATACATGTGCAACTGAGGGTTTTACATAAAACTTAGTGTGCTGAAAATGTGTCTTACAGTATACCTGCACTAACCATGACCATTGTTTATATAATTGAAATCAAATCTCACCAGTTTAGAGACATTGTTCCATAAAATATTACTTTTTGAAGTCGATATGGAATAGTTTTTTTTTAGACTCAAAACTGCAGGGCATAGTGAGGATACTTCTTTTGTGTGACTTGACTTTAACAATAATATTTATATTTTCAAATTAAATATATTACCCGAATTCCAAATCATATGTGTGCTCTGAAAATGAATGAAAAAATAATGTGGATTTTAGAATCTCTTAAACCAATACTCTTTTAACAATTAAATGCAGACAATGCATTAAATGTTTAAACTGAAAATTAAATCATTTGTGGAAAAACTCAAGTTTGTGGTATTGAAATGGTTCACTGTGGCCTTGGAGCACTGAAAAAAGAAAGAAGTAAGACAATGCTGTCTTCTTTTTTGTGGCAAGAAAAGTATGTGTTCTCAAAGGTGATGATTTATGTTGTACTTTACATTCCTGAAGCTGCACTTTACAGACTAGAAGTAATGATTTTAAGACTTATACGTACTGTTGGACTCATTTCGTGTAGTTGATGGAAGGAAAATGCATTAACTAAAAATGTGTTAAAACTTAGTAATCTATCATTGTTTACTTCCCCATAAAATACAGGAAAATTTAACTTAAAGTAAGTTAGGATCAGATCTGCTCCTCAGGGTAAGAGTGGCCGAAAGTGTTCACAAAGGTGTAACAATGCTGTCTGATGTATTCACATTCAGTTTTGTTTGTTTACATCTTTTTGTATTAACCTCTGATGGGAGATTATAGCTTGTAAAATAGAAAATGAATGTTATCCAGCTATAATTTCTCAGTATATAACTTATGTTTAAATAAGTCTCTTAAAACAATAAGACATGTTTTTCTTTTCAAGAGACACCAATGTTTGCCATTTTGTGAGCAAATTTCACAGTCAAAAATACATTTCCATAACAGTCGTTTCAGCGGGCACATTCAGATAAATGAGTTGAACAGGAATTCTGTCAGCTATACCTTCCAAAGAATAGATGTGGATATAAATGTTATTACTGTTTTCCACTTTAATATCACCCACCACTCAGTGCATCTATTGATAATCAATACATTCAGAAAACCCTGTTATTCAATCTAAGATGACAGTGGCAAAAATGGAAAGAAAGAAATGCTAAAAAAGTTTGCAGTATATGCAGTGCAAAACTGGCAAAAATACCAATATGGTGTCGATATGACACTTCGCAGTAGATAAATGCACTTTTAAAATTCCTGAAAGTTAAAGCGCTCAATTAGTACCAACCGGCTCCTTAAAAAGATAAATTAGATCTAGATAAAAAATAATCATCTAAATTTAAAAATTAACCAGCACTTTAGTTAACCCCCAAACATGATATCAAAGCACTCAATCCAGTGGACATAATACATTCTTAAAAGTGAACACAATCAGTGTGTCTTGATGTAAGATACAACCGTTGGAGTTTAAAAAAGGACTAATAACCTCCAACGCTCACAAACATGAATAAGACAGATTCAAATAGATAAAACCCACTGGTCTACACTGCATTTAGTGTTTCTCAGGCACTTAATTTAGGTAACAGAACTGAGATGGATACCTATCTGTAGTTTTGTCCTTTTTTTAATTTTCTATGACAGGCTAAATCATTTTAATTTACATTAATTGAAAAGAGCCTGTGGTCCATCTTTCAACTCTATAGTGCAAAATACTCAAATCACAGAAATGTGCCTTTTGTTCCCATAAAAATGACAGACGCTCTATTGCTTTGATCTAAAAGAATGGAATTCACTCTCCATTAGGCACAAGGCTTTATGTGTCGGTGTACGATATGTCCGAATCAGAAGCTGGACTCAGGGACGGCCCTTTTGTGGCCCAGTGAGGATGTGCTATAACGAGTCCTCTGCAGGTTGCCATTGTGCTGTTTTTCTGCAGTTGAGCTCCTTGGTGGTGCTGGTGTTGTAAACGTCCCATTGTGGTGTAAGGATGCTGTCCTACGCATGACATGTTCCCCTTTTGTGGGTATGTTAGAGGAGCTCTGGGAGCGTTTGATGTCAGCGTTGACACGTTTCACCTTCCTGTTTGCCAGCTCATTTACATTTTGGCCTGAGCCATTAGATTTGTCTCCATCTGCCCCAGTTCTGCCACCTGCTGCTCCATTAGACAATGATGCACTTGATAAGGTCGATCTTCCTCCTTCCTCATATCCTCCTTTCTTTGACTCACCCTCCTTGGACTTCCTGAGGTCCTTATCCTTCTTTCGGAAGTTATTTTTGAAAAAAGAAAGGAGACCATCATGAGTCTTTGGTTCTTCTTCGTTATTGGTCTTTGAGTTTTCTTCATGTGCACTCTGATGATCCTTATCAGGCTTGCCCCTCTTTTGTCTCCTCAGAGTCCCATCCTGAAGGCTGGGAGTACTGAAGCTCTGGTGAACTCCTGTAGTGGAGCTCCGTTTTGTCTCTGTATCCTGTGAAGACTTGGAGGAGCTTTGCCTCCTGGAATCTTTCCTTCTGGTGATTGTGTTGTGACTGGAGCTAGTACTGATACTAGCTCTGCTCTCTTCTCTTGACTGACTTCCCTTACTCTGTCTCAGACTGGATGTCTTCTCTGCTGGCCTCCTCTGGCCCTCCGGGACCTGCGTTAGAGGCAAATCCTTTCCAGTCTTACCTACACAACTTAGACTCCCTGCACTGGAAGACCGAACAGTGTTAGTAGAACGGCTCTCAGCTGGCTCCTTTGTGCCACGTGGCTCGTTCATCAGTTTGACTATAGAATCTTTTGTGCACCGGGGTCGACGGCCGGATTCCAAGTATTCAACCAGCTCCACAGGAGCCGGATCCTGGACCTGGGAAGGGACCTGGTCAGATTTTCGTCTGTCCTTGGAACCAAAGGACCAGCGCAGAGGAAGAACTTTGCTCAGGGAATCTTTGGTCTTGCTGGGAGCTTTCATGCTTACACTACGCCCCTTAAGACCCCTGACAAATGGCTTGCTTTTGCTCTCATCCCCTGATGATTGTATAAATAGGGGAAAAAGGAAATAATTTAGATTTTCCATTCAAAGAGAAGAGCTTGCATTAGTTGGTATAATAAATATTTGGTTTGGATCCTTACCCCTTCCCTCTTTAAAGCCGTTGTCATCGAAGACTGGGGACTCTGGAGAGTCAGGCTGGGAAGGTGGGCAGATGGTGGAGGAGTGAGACACCAAACTGCCTCTCTTGCTGTCTCCCGTCAGCCTAATTAGCCAGTGGTCTGACACTGATGAACTTGTAGAGCCTGATATTAAAATGCAAACGAATCAAATTATATGTCTTACACAGCTGTTTGAGCTGGATAAGCAACTGACAATATTTCAAATGAACAGAAACTTATATATATATGGGACTACACAATCCTTGACTCGAGCCCTTGTTTTCACATCCTTCTCTCACTGCAGTGAAGCCACAGTCTTGGCCCAGGGAATCTGGATTTCCCTGGGCCAATACACATCCATTATTCATTGTTTGTTCAATAAGCCTTTTCATTTTACCATTCCTCTGAGCTTTTGTGCATGTGGGTAAAAAGATTGAACAAAACCATGACAACTACATTAAGAACTTGATTTCATCGATGGCTGTTTTAATCACATGGCCAGTGGATTACACAACAAAATTGAAAATTATTAGAAAGAATTCCTAATGTACACCCCAGTGTCCTAATCTTGTCCAGAGTAAACCTAACTAGAATTTGAATTATATGGGATGTGCTAAAAAAAAATCCCACCCAGAGACAAAAAGAACAACCAAGATTGTTAGAAAGTCTTGAATTTTCAGTTGTACCTTTATGAACATTGTTATTGACAGCCTTACTGGACATTTGTATAGTCTAGACTATTGGTCTTGGTCCTGGTGTGTACCAACAAGTTGCAAGCCAGAGTACCTGGAGAGAACCCACACAGACACAAAGAAAACGTACAAACTCCACACGGAAAAGTCCCAGTTCCCTGGGAACCGTCTTGCTCTGTGTTACATTATTCGGTTTTCTATGGATCTTTGCATATAATCTATACTCTATCCTTTCAAGTATTTTTCATTTTGAATTTGGCTTTTATCAAGGAGGCTTAAGTGACTATTATAATATGAACATTTATCTGTATGGTGATCCTTTTGAGGAAATTTTGCCATTGATCCCAGCAAGTATATCAGCTAATGAAATAATTGAAATTTCTGGGGTAAAAATGGTTTACTGTTTCACACAAATAACGTATATTTGAATGGCAGCAATGTTTTAAAGTTAGCGACTCGCAGGTATTGTATTTTTTATTTTTTTTAATGAAAGAAAATCTTGACATAACAGCATCCCATCATTCTCAAAACTATGTTTACTACAAGGACAACAAATTTGCCACGGACCCAAGGGTGTATGTTAGTGAAAATTAAATGAGGAATTATCCATTACAGTCAGAAAGAAAGGTTAACTCTGAGCCGGTTGCCATGGCTACACACAGTGTGAAGCTAGCATACTAGCTTGAAGATGTATTTATTATTTTTCTGCAACATAAGACTGTGAGTAGTTTTTCATCTCCGTGTGGCCCTGTGATGGAGTGGCGACCTATCAGGGGTGTACTCCACCTCGAGCACCTTCGACACTGCTAGGAATAAGTGGTATGAACAATAAATCTTCTGAGGAGGGGCTATAGAGTTGGAAATACTACTCAAACGCACATACACGGAAACAGAGTGAAGACAGTTACTATGATTTAAAAAATACAACTTTTCTTAATTTCTGATCATGATAAAAGCAAATTTAAGTGTAATTAAGGTTTGACGGACCAATAATGATAATGGTGTTGATACTGAACTGATGTCAGCTACACTTTGATCTCTGATTGAATCCATGAGTACCATTTAAATACACCCATTTGCCACAAGCCATAATTGGACTTCTTAAAGCTCAGATTATGTGTATTATACAAGAGCTTGTTTCTGTAAACCTAGTCCTACAGAAAGACACAACCTGCTATTGTGATGGTTGCAGATTTTTATGCGCATAAACAGCAAAATCTTATTATGTGTAGTGCAATTGTAAACACTGGATGGGGTGAACAACGTGATTTTAAAGACTGAAGAGAAGAAGCCGCACAGCAGTTACACATAGGCTACCTGCTTTCAAGAGGAGTAATTATCTCCAGGTCAAATTCATGTAGGTTAAACAAATTAAAATTAAATAAAGTTTTCCTTTTTAATCATACTGAAAAACCTGCCACTATCTGAACAGGAAAATGTATTAATTTCACAGCCCGGTAGAAAGCTTTGAGCCAAGATAAACATTATTTACCATTGAATATAAGCAGACTGGTGTATCTGAACTAGCTATTCAGGAATATGACAGTCAGCCTTTCTTAACACTTGTAAATTGTAATACAAGAGATCAAATCCTTCATGTATAACTGTTATACCATCTAAAATTGCAAAAATGTATTTCACTTCAGCTGTGTGTAGTTCACCACCTCCATGTTTAACTTGTAGTGGAGATTTAGGTCATATTGCACTTACAAAGAAATGTGTTAAGAATATCCTGTCCCTTCATATGATTAAATTGAAAAAAAAAGTTTCCATTTTTTCTTGATTTCTGTCCCTTAATCACTTCCCGAGTTCAGTTTTTTTCCAGTCTTATTTTTGGTGTCTATTGTAGCTTCCTGTTTCCCTGTATTTCTGTCACCTTAATTTTTGTCCCTCAGTTTCCACTGGCTTTTATCAGAAGTTCAACTTTCTGCACATGCACTGTCTCACCAGCTCTTGGCAAAGAATAAATGCAGGGAACAAATTAAAAATGATCATGTAAGATTCATATATAACCAAGTGTCTCAATGATCAGACCAGATGTGTGAAAAAGCTTGACACATGGAAGCAGCTGTTGCAACTGTTGCAGCCCTTGTATTGATAAGTCATTTTTAAACTGTTGGCATTTTTATCATTAACAACATTTCCACCATATATTTCCTGCCAATCTGCTTGTCCCTGGATAACATACCTCGGATAGAGCTGCTGGCTGACCACGGAGGAATGGTGTTTCGTCTCTGGTAGAAAAGGATATAAGCACCTCTGGTAATTACTTCGTCCTCTGGCACCAGGTCAACACTGCTGTCATCATAGCTGTACCACTGGCCATCCACTGAATTCCTACAGTAAGCTAAATTAAAGAGGGGACAAGTATGAGCAAGGGACGCATTGAATGTGTTAAGTCATAGCAAAGGTAGAAAACGTTTAAGTCAAAGAACAGGTGTGGTGAAAAACAATATTTATTAAAGACGCTGGTATCATCAGTCAGCGCTTTGACACTCAACCTGTGTGGTAACCCTGAATCCAATTCCTACGACTGCATCATTGCTGTTTAACTTTGTCCCGGCGTACAGTGTCCAAGAGTTTTTTGCTTCATCCCTTTTTTCCGAAGAACGACCCAGCGTGCCTTCCACAGCTCCCTGCCCCATGTTCTCTGTGTCTCTGCGTCCCTCTGCGTCTATCTGTCCTTTCCTCTAGAAAACCTTTTAGTTCCAATGCAAATCTCTTTTTCTGACATATCTGCATGGATGAAAGATCACCATCTCCAATTGAATCTCTCCAAAACTGAACTGCTCATCATCCCAGCCAAGCAAACTATGCACAACAATATCAGCATCAGGTGAGACTCACTATCTGTAAGATACCTGGAAGTCATGATTGATGATCAGCTGACCATTGCGGATCATGTTTTGCCTCTGTTGCTCGTGCCGCTTCTCTCAGTTCAACATTGGGAAGATTAGGCTATATCTAACCCAACATGTGACACAGCTCCTAGAACAGGCCTTAATCATCTCCCGCCTCTCTACTGCAATGCCCTCCTAACAGGCTTTCCAACCTGTGCTGTGAGACCACAACAGATGACCCAGAATGCTGCAGCCCGTTTGGTTTTCAACTAGCCAAAGAGAGTACCTGTCACACCACTGTTCACTGAACTCCATTGACTTTACTTAGCTGCTGTCATCAAATTCAAATGACTGATGCTGGCCTACAGAGTGTTTGATCGATCTGCGCCCATCTATCTCAACGCCCTCTTAAAGCCATATGTCACCGCTCGCCCACTCCGTTCCTCCAAGGAGCGCCAGCTAACACGGCCAACGTCGGTTGATTAGTAATATACAGGTCAATCTAAACTCTTCTCATCTGCAGTTCCATGATGGTGTGGAATGACCTTATAAGCTCTATCAGAGCATCAGATTCCCTTTCCTCCATCAAGAAATCCTTGAAGACCCAGCTCTCCCGAGAGTATCTCTTGTCCCGAAAGCTCTAAATGCACTTATTTCCTAATAGCATATAGCACTCAATGTATGGTACTTGTGTAATCTATGTCATAGTTGGATGTTAAATCTTTATTGTTAAATCCTTTTCTAGTATATTACACTCAAGGTAAGGTAAGAAAATGGTTTTCTAGAGGTTGCCGCCATTAATTATGTTGCTTTGCAAAACTTTTCAACCATGAAAAGGTATATAATATCATCAACATAAGTTTTATTAAGTATTGGCGCTAACAAATTCAAAATCGGCAAATATCTTTTTTAAAATTCCCCACAAATCACTGCATTTTGATGTCATCATATACAGTACATATACAAAACCACATCTAAGATAGTGACGTTGATAATTTCATTATTATTTTTGCATGTGCATCTGCATTCTGTGCACTGCTGTATATACACAAATAAAACAGTTTTACCAGTATAATGTCCTCCATGCATTCCTCCATGATGATTGCACACAGCATAGAGGTCATATAGATAATCGTGAGGCAGGATCATGTCAGCAGACTGGTAGCCTGAGGATTGTCTGCGGGAATTCAATGACTGTCCCAGGTGCAGGTTCTTCACACTCTGACTTCTCTTCACTACATGGGGAGCCATGTCCAAACCAGTAAGAGGAAATCGTACAAGGGTTGACAGCTTGTTTCTTCTTTCGCCGACCTGTTTTGCAGTGCACAGTACAAAGCTGCTTGAGAAAGTATTCAGACTCCTCACATAATGCACAATGATTATTAAGAAGCTTTTCTCAAGACAAGTAATTTAGATTAACTAAAGGAAGGGAAAAGGTTGCCAAATAAAGCAATCAGTTGTAGCTTTTTACTTTTACAAAATTTGAAATCTAAAAAACTCATGGAAAAAGTGAAATCAAATCAATTTTTGTCAAATATGTTTGACAATACTGAGAAGATATTAGTCAAAGGGACAAGCAAGTCAAAGAATGCGGAAAATTACACTGCTGCTGTACAATGCAAGGCGATTGCTTAGTTGTGTGTTTTTCTTGCAATCTTAAGATTTCCTCTACTGAGCTTCTCTCTGCTGACTTTTAAAAAATATTTCCAGCCAAACTACTTTGTTGTTTCAGTCTGCTTCTGTTCATAATTCTGGATTGTTGATACATTTAGGGTATACGTCTGGGAGTTTTCCGAGGCAAATACAATCTCTGGACAACAAAAAAACAACAAAGTTGAGAAGACATCACAATTATAGGGTAAAAAAGACAGAAAACAAGAGTTTGTTTAAATCAGTTTACCCATCATTGGGAATGTAGGTATAAAGGACAGAAGATTATGTATCCTGAAATTATCTAGTCTAGAGAAGATAGGTTAAAGAACATGAATAAAGAGGTCCGAATTAAGGTAGAATTATTTAGCCCGGGTCTACAAAGTAATACAAGCCAATACAAATCTGTTTCAGGGTGCTAAAGTAGGACTCCATGCATAGTTGATGAACTCTGATACAATGCAATCTCTTTTGTTATGTTTATTCCTTTACATTTAACAAAAATCATGCGTCCCAAATAAAAATGTAATTTTATTAATTATCTTACTGGCTTTAAAGATGAGACAGATTGTCTGTAATGAGCATTATTATTACTTTGGACACTCTTGTTTGGCACATTTTGCTTCCCCATGTCTTTGTGAGAGACACTATAAGTTGCAGTTTTTTCTTTCCTTAAGGAAACTTAATCAACGATTTGATATAACACATTTTCACAGATTGATTTATGACTTTCTTTAAATTTCTGAACTTTACCATAAAGTGTCACTCCAACTATCCGCATTTTTTTTGTCCGTTATCACTCCATAGAAACTGAAATATAATACTTTTTTTATGGGCATTAAAGGGTTAATCAATGCACCTTCATTTTTGTTTTCTGAAAGGGTAACTTAATTTGAAAGTATCGCTGACAAAAAGCCTTTAATCAACAATTGTGTGCCTTTTTTTATACGGTTGTCAGTACGATGTAAAAACTATTCTTTAACGTTTATAGATAGGCTGCAGACATACCATGGCTATGAAACGTTCCTCTAAAAAGCCATTTTACATATTTCTAAAGTTATTTTTTTGTGCAAAATATCCTATAAACAGAATGTGTTTCTGTATACATGTCATCAACATATATTAAATTCACAATTGAACTGAAAAATCTTGAATGTGATGGCAGCAGCACACCTCAAATCGGGGGAAAAAAAACTGGAATCAGATGGAATAACATGAATCTTATTACATTAATTAAAAACAGTTTAGAAACATGATCATAAATATCTGTAGAAAAGCTTAGACACTCTTTCAGAAATACAGGAGGGATCCATTTCTGGCACAAAGCTTCTATTGGTTTTTGCCATTCGCTGTCCACAAATGGGTTGAGCACTCCCTTTGAAAGGCGAATTATTCAATTTTTCCTAATTATGTTAGCCTTTTTGCTTGCTATTTAGGTGTATATTTAAATCTCAATACCTTTACTTTAAAACATTTTCTGCTGCTGTAGAAGAACGTTTCAGGGTATTAAATAGTCACTCAGAATGAATACCTTTGGGCAGGTACTTTAAATATGCCTAACTGGTCAACAGATTTGAAATGGTAAGCTGGCCACTGGGGTGAAACAGCGGAGGTCAAAGGCTACTAATGTCGGGCCATAAAAACTCAGTTCATTGAAGGCGGCGCATACACTCCAGCACCCTGAGGCTCTGTCACCCTCTGTGGGCACCATTATCCAAAACAACAAATAACATCTCAACACCAAGATGGCTCCCTGAGCTGAATTGATGAGAGTGCCTCAGGCAAAAGAAGAGAAACAGTCAATCCTAATATATTGACTTTCCATGACAAAATAGTTACTATAATGTGATGTAATGTGTAATGTGTCAACAGGTCCAAGTAAACAGATTTGATCACCTTGTTGTTGATGTTGCACCTAAATGGACTAATGCAGAAATGCAGAGTAAAATGTTAAGAACACTTGAGTGTTCAGACATGTTGTTGTTATCCTCATTGTCCCTATATAATTTTTTTTATGAGACTTTATAAATTATCAAACTTTTCCTATCCTGACAGGCAAGTATCAAACTGAATGTTAGGTCTCAAAACTCAAGATTTCTGTGGGAGTCTAAGGATAGATAATTTCACTTCATTTTAAGATCTAATTTTAACCATATCAGCAAATTTGATAAGCACAACTTTAAATGGTTAGAGCTAAAGCTGCTACATCAATTTTGACAGTAGTTTGCTTTGGTAGCAGCATTAGATTTTCTAAATTGAAGAGCATAGGACTGTGGTTATGTAAGCAGTAACTGGTTACTGATTCCTTCTAAAGTGATGCTGCATTAATTGGTTTAGCACTGACTTGTGTCTACTGTAGAGACACGTTCTATTACAATTATCCACATAACCCTGTTTTAAAATGGATTTACTATTTAAAACACAACATAACAGTATTCTTATTGTTGTGGTGTATTTTCACTTGAGTTTCACTGCTCTGTTTCACCATATGGTAAAATATATTCAAAATATACTTATATTTGTTGTACATTATGTTTAGTGTTTGTTTAGCTATGACACCTTCAAGTATATAACTCTCCCTGTTTTGTTTTTTTCCACTGTTATTGATGACTTTTACGTAACAGTTCTAAGATCAATTCTTCACAAAGAAAGATTGATTTGTGGATCTTCAAAATGTAGACACACATTATGTGGAAGAAGAATTACAGCAACTGCAGCCACTTTCACTCTCTCCTACCTGTCGGAAGCGCTTGAGGTGGAGGATAAGGATGTCAGGCAGTGTCCACAGACTCATCTTTAACATGCCCTGCTGAAGCTTCTTACAGTGGGGACATTTCCAGGCATCATCTGGGTCTAGCTGTAATCAGTCAATTGAAAAGACAGCTAAATGGTTACAAGAGCAAAACAAGTTAATTTTTACCATAACTCAATATGCCTCGGTAGAATAGTGAAAGCTAAATCATACTTGTTTACAAGCCTTACTCCAAAATATAAAAGAACATGCAAGGCTGCTATTTTTACTTTAATATTTCTTTGGCAAAAATCAATTCAAGATATTTTATGTTTTGTCTACTCAACTTTTTATTAACACCCATTTCTTTTATTGAGGGCTAATACTAATTATACTAAAATTAGTCTTTGAAGAGATAAGGAAAGAACAAAAGCATAAGGAAATATTTGGAATATTCCATATCAAATTTCCTCAATAAAGGATTCAGATAGTTCTATTTCTACTAAATAAAAGTTCAAGAAATAGGCTGTGATTTCAGTGCACATAGGAAAAGGGCACATTGTGAAACATAGGTGACCTTTCACCTTACCAGTGCTAGAACAGCTATTTTTTAAATGCTTGTACAACCACATCCACAAAGGATTTAATTGGGAAATCCATTGTAAAGCACTATAGTTCATAGTTACATTAGCATTGACAACATACTTATGTCAACCTTCACCAGTAATCACAGTGACTTCTTGGATTACATAGTTCTTGGAAAAACTGTCGTTTTTTTAAATGAAAGGCCACCAATCATGATCTTTTATGTATTAACATTGTGAAGAAGTTTTCTGGAGAAAGGGTACAAAGTAAAATAGCTTAAAACTAGCCCTTGGATTCATTGTTGCCTTATATCTAACATTATGTTCAGTACAGTACAAAGCCAATTGAGAATAAATGTCCATTTCCTTTTTTGTTGTACCTCCAAACCTTTACATATAAGTTGAAGGTGACTTAAGTGTTTGTTGAAAAAATGAATACCCTATTAATTCATAGCATCCGATACACTTTATTTATAAAGCACAATTTTAACAACAGTAATTTATTGCACTGCTTAGTTCTTGATGACTTTTGACAATTGTCTATAAAGCTGCATGTTTAACTTTGATAAAACCTTTTTAGATTTCGTGTGTGAATTTCATGTGACTTCGAATAAATAAATGCTCTAATTAAATATATGTTGTAGTTGAATGGATGGGAGGAAGAGTAAATCATTTAGAAAATAGGAAAAGTGAAAAGTCTACAAATAAGAGAGTAAAGTAAAAAATATTGGAGCAGTTGGAGTATCGGACTGGGGTTATCTAACACTATTCGGCTGATTTGGAACCACCGTTGTAAGACTTGCTAAAGACCATAAGTGGCAAAACATGCCCAACTTGAAACAAAAGCAATCTCTCCTATCTCAATCTGGCTCCCCGAGAGCAGCCTTGGAGCTGCCTTTCATAAACTTTACAGGTTTTTTTAAATTATAATAACAAACAACTAAATGAGGATATGTGAGTCACAGGACTAGTTGATATTACAAAAGGAACGCTCTACATTTTAAACTGCACTGGCTCTCACTGAGATATTCAGAGCTTTTATTTTTCTTAATACACGCGACTGCTTATTTCTGTCTCACCTGTTCTTCTTTGGTATATAACTGGAAGCACTCGTCCAAGGTACAGCTGTGCTGCTGAAGATGTTGTTGCTGCTGGTTCCTCACACTCTCTGCATCCTTCACCACCTCCTCCTGGATGCTGCCAAACAAACTGGACCAAGCCCAATGTTTTTCCATCACAGTTATGGACTAATGAAATTTTGTTTACATTGAGTTGAGAGTGCCTGTTTGTGCCATCTGATGACAGGGATTTGGTATATGTACCTTCACTGTCCTGATAATTTCTGTAATGTCATTTGCATACTTGGCTGGAAGAACGAGTGGGCATAATGCTTACCATTCTTTAGAGCTGTATTCCCACTCGATGACAAGTTTTACATGGGGAGACTCCCCGGGGCCGCAGAAATTCAAAGCTCTATGAAACAGCAAAGAGAACAACATCATAAAAAAATCACGTACAGATTCTTGTAAACGCCAACTTTCTTGCTGTCACAGTTTATTTAAAACCCCAAACCAGGAAAATACTATTAGTTTTGCAGCATACCATATTGTTGCTGAAAAAATACTGTTAGTGACAAAAAGCTTTTGGTTGGATATATGCTTTTCTATTTTATGCTAAATTAACCCAGACACGCGCAGGCATATAGCACTGGAATGTAGCACAGGAATACCCAACCTGACATTAGTCACAAATGAGATCTGCGTATTTGTATACAAACACACAGAATTAATCTGATGTGGATCTTCAGAGAGTGGACATGGCAGCAGATTTGTATTTTTGATGAAGACAAATTTTCACTGCATTTCGTTCCCCTGGGTAAACACACATTACTCCCTGTTCAAACGATGTCACTTGCATGCACTTGAAAAAATTACTGCATTCCCGGAAAATCTGCATTGTTCTGCAGGGGTGATTGACATTTATATCTTATGCTGATTTTAAGGTTAAAACTAACTGATACCCCTGAAAACAGATTAATTTTTCTTTGATTTTTGTGCACTACGTTTTGGTAATCTCTCTTGACATGACATCCTTAAAGACGAATGCATATAAATTAACTTATTCAGTAGACATATTAGTTGAAAGTGTCACAAAACATGATATTGTCATGAAAGTTTCAAGTGTAGTCTGAACCTCTCCTCTGAGCAATGAAACCATGATGGTTTTAATCACATGGCCCATGACACCATGATGGTTTTAATCACATGACCCCCTTACATTGTGAATGTAAGGGCCATGTGATTAAAACACATCTTACATCATTTGATGCGTTCAGTGCCCACTGAAATAAAAAAAAAATCTTGTTACAACCTGCTACCACGACTGTTCACCATGGTCAAATATGGATTATTTAAACTTTGATTTCATGGTTTCAGTTTCATGGTCTTTTAACCTGCAATAATTCACTTTATTTAATAATTATTTCCATTCCATCCATCCATTTTCATAACGGCTTCTTCCCTAATGGGGTTGCGGGGGGACTAACCCAGTAGTCAATGGGCAAGAGGCGGGGTACACCCTGAATGGTCCGCCAGTCCATTGCAGGGCCACACAGAGACACACAAGGAAAAACAACCATGCAAACTCACACTCACTCCTAAGGACAATTTGGAATGCCCAATCAACCTAACATGCAGGTTTTTGGACGGTGGGAGGAAGCCGGAGAACCCGGAGAGAACCCACACAGACATGGGGAGAATATGCAAACTCCACACAGAAAGATCCTGGTTCCCGGAGACTCGAACCCAGAACCCACTTGCTGTGAGGCGATGGTGCTAGCCACCACACCACCGTGCCGCCCCATCAATAACTATTTATTTAATGAATACTTTTATTCTGAACAGGCTTGGTTTAGTTAAAGATCAACACCAAACAAAATTTGTAACATTCTGCTTCAATGTGGGTGTCTGTCAAGGACAGGCCTTCAACTCTACATGTATGATATTTCCTTTCAAATGTGTATTGCTGACAAAGACGCCTTGATGTGTTGAGGGAAAATGCTTGATGTGATTCCAATGGTTTGAGCACATGTGTGTGGCCTACCTATCAACTGCTGGGTGGTACAGTGGCCTGCTGTCCTGCGGGGACAGGTAGCTGTAGACTGCAGATCCCCCCACCACTCTGATCTTAAACTGGGCATTGGCATTCTGCAGAAAAATGTACATGCATTAGCATTTCTGATTTCTTAAGTGCTGCCTCCAAGCCTTAAAAAACAGCTCGCGAAGTTAAAGGTGCATTAAATATTTAGAACATGACACTGTGTGAACTGTAGGTTCAAAACAGAACACAATCATTCTCATAGACACACCAAAACAAAGATTATAGATAAAGTATTGGAAGTGAGTGTAAACTTTATGATTAGCTTTTTTGATTGCAAACATTTCTTTTCTTATGATTTATGCTTGTTTAACTACAAGTAAGTGCATGCATTGCATGTTACAGAAATAGACTGAAACTATTTAGCAATTAAAGATGTACTGAATGGTGTGTGTGTGTGTGTGTAGGTGTCACAGCTTCTAAACCCAAATTAATATTAATACATGTCCCTGACTACCTTACAAAAAAAAGAAATTATTGTGCTTTTTCACTGTTAGACCTTGAAGAACAATTCTATATATATGAATAGATTAAGTCTTTCTTATGATTAAAAAAAAAGAAATACACGTGAAAAAATGCCTCTATAGTGTCACACATCACAAAAAATAGCCTGCCCTTATAACTTCATTACATATTAGTTATTCAAGAAGTCACAGCAACTCTGTAACAAGACAGATAATAATTGGCAGCTGTAAAAGTGCATTCAATGAAGAGTCTTAATCATATCTTATCATACTCAAGGTCTCAGGTATAATATTACGGGAATTTACATTAAAAAATGGTCATAAACCAAATGATCCTTCTAACGGTGTTTGTTCACTGACATGGGAAAACAAGATAAATGTAGATATAAAGTTACCAAATGATTTCCTAACAGAAAATAAATGCAAATTATCATTATTTTCAATAAAACAGTAGGATGTCTGGATTAGTAGAACCTGCAGAACTGTGGTCACTTTAGTTACAGCATACAGTCAGGGCCAGAAATATTTGGACAGTAACACATTTTTCACGAGTTGGGCTCTACATGCCACCACACTGGATTTGAAATGAAACCTCTACAACAGAATTCAAGTGCAGGTTGTAACGTTTAATTTAAAGGGTTGAACAAAAATATCTGATTGAAAATGTAGGAATTGTACATATTTCTTTACAAGCAATCCACATTTTAGGAGCTCAAAAATAATTGGACAAATAAGCATAACCCAAACAAAAAAGTTTTTTTTCAATATTTTGTGGCAAATCTTTTGGAGGCAATCACTGCCTGAAGTCTGGACTGCATGGACATCACCAAACGCTGGGTTTCCTCCTTCTTATTGCTTTGCCAGGCCTTTACAGCCGCAGCTTTCAGTTCTTGCTTGTTTGTGGGTCTTTCTGTCTGAAGTCTGGTCTTGAGCAAGTGAAATGCATGCTCAAGTGGGTTAAGATCTGGTGATTGACTTGGCCATTGCAAAATATTCCACTTTTTTGCCTTCATGAACTCCTGGGTAGCTTTCGCTGTATGCTTGGGGTCATTGTCCATCTGTACTGTGAAGCGCCGTCCATTGAATCTGGGCTGAAAAGATACCCCGGCACACTTCAGAATTCATCCGGCTACTCTTGTCTGCTGTTATGTAATCAATAAACACAAGTGACCCAGTGCCATTGAAAGCCATGCATGCCCATGCCATTACATTGCCTCCACCATGTTTTACAGAGGATGTGGTGTTCCTTGGATCATGTGCCGTTCCCTTTCTTCTCCAAACTTTTTTCTTCCCATCACTCTGGTACAGGTTGATCTTAGTCTCATCTGTCCATAGAATGCTTTTCCAGAACTGGGCTGGCTTTTTTAGGTGTTTCTTGGCAAATTCAACTCTGACCTGTCTATTTTTAGATTCGATTAATGGTTTGCATCTGGACATGAACCCTTTGTATTTACTTTCATGGAGTCTTCTCTTTACTGTTGACTTGGAGACAGATACACCTACTTCCCTGAGAGTGTTCTGGACTTCAGTAGATGTTGTGAATGGGTTCTTCTTCACCAAAGAAAGTATGTGGCGATCATCCACCACCGTTGTCTTCCGTGGACGCCCAGGCCTTTTTTAATTCCCAAGCTCACCAGTGAATTTCTTTTTTCTCAGAATGTACCAGACTGTTGATTTTGGTACTCCAAGCATGTCTGCTATCTCTCTAATGTATTTTTTCTTTTTTTTCAGCCTCAGGATGTTCCGCTTCACCTCAATAGAGAGCTCCTTTGACCGCATGTTGTCTGGTCACAGCAAGCTTCCAAAATGCAAAACCACACACTTGGAATCAACCCCAGACCTTTTAACTACTTAATTGATTACAGGTTAACGAGGGAGACACCTTCTGAGTTATTTGCAGCCCTTATTGCCCATTGTCCAATTACTTTTGATCCCTTGAAAAGAGGGCAACACATACAAAAACTGTTGCTATTTCAATCCTGTTAATGCGATTTGGATGCTAACACCTTCACATTAATGCTGAGAGTCTACAGTTAATGCACAGTTTGTTTGTTTTATTTCAAATCCATTGTGGTGGGGTATAGGGTGGAAAAGGAGGATAACTGTGTTGCTGTCCAAATATTTCTGGCCCTGACTGTATATGGCTGATAAAAACGTATTAAGTAAAAGGTGATATTGTGAAAATACAGTCCTGAAATACTATTTATTCAATAGCATGAAGTTCAAATGTATCTTTTTATTAGGGGTTGCTAAAGAAAAGCTGTATTTAAGCATATAAATCAACAAAATTAATATTTTCACATTTTGAACTGTGTTTCACTTAACAAGCCTGTGGGTGGCACCAAAACAGCACCTTAGAGCAAATATTGAATAAATAAAACAGAGCAATCACAACTGACACTCATCAAAGGATTATAGCAAAGTAGAAAACAAAAAGAAGAAAAAGGAAAATAATTCCAATGTAAAGTCAATATTATCACAGTTAATGTTTTATCATTTAGGTCCCTTTTCTATTCCAGTTTAACCAGCCAGCTAAAGAAAAGTCCAATTCATAACAAAAGTTTTCACCTTTGCTTCCTGTGTGAAAACTTGAACCATTATAGATAGATATGGAAAAATATAAACAGAATTATCTGTTAACAGAGATATTTTACTATATATATATATAAGGCCCCAAAAACAAAAAAATATTAAAGAAAAGAACCACCTGACCAGACAGGTTTGTGGCATTAGCAATGAAACTCAGATACCGATCAGTAAATAACAGAGTGATACTCATCCTTCTTTAGTTTTTGCTGCCAGATAAGACTACCCCGGATACTGTCTGTCAACACTGCGTTGCCCATGGCAACTGTGAATGTGTAGTAGGGTGCTTATACTTGGATGTGTTCCCTGTGTACTCAAGATTTTTGAGTGGAAGTTAAGGCTTATGATGTACTGATCATTTGAATTCACTATGAGTAACAGATGGAGTTTCTCAGTGGTTGTCATCAAAGCTTGCAGTGAATGGAAAGGTAAGGGGTCATTTCAACATGCAAGACAAGCAGATCATAAATCAAACACAACAGAGGCAGATGGAGCACTGTATAAATACTAAATACGGAACAACCACAATTTTATGTGCAGTGAGACACCACATTTTTAAATGATGTAATCTAGAAAGAAAATAGATTTTTATATCAGCCCCTCACTAGTGTGTGGCTAACTTAAAAGGAAAGAAAAAAATGTTGTGGCTATTTCAATCCTCTCCATTCAAGCTTGCTGTCAGAGGCCACAGAGAGCAAGACCCCCAGCGTTCAAATTTTGAGGACATAGACTAGAGCAGGTGAAATACCTCAGCCTGAGATCCATTCTGCATTAGATAATAGAGCTTGCTAAGGATGCTCTGATGCAGTTGGTCCCAGGAAATATTCCTGTCTTCAAGCATGAGAAACGGAGGCCCAAATCTGACGGGATAGGGCAAAAGACACAAAGAAATCTCTTTACAATTTTTAAACAAACATCAACTTCAAATAGCACATTTTATGAACAATAAGGCATTAAAGTTTAAATGAATGCTTGAAACTTCTGATCCATTTTTGACATGTTGAATAACAAATTTCTATTACAATTTTTAATTTGAGCATCTTAAGAAAACTGAGAGGGCAATAGAAAGATATGAAAGTTTAGAAATATATAGCAAAATTGTGGAAAATTCTACAAATAACCCAGAATTTCGTGGTAGCTATTAATGTCAACATTGGGTCTAAAAAAAACATCTTAAGCATCCTACATTAATATCTCAAGAAAAACTGAACAAAAATAACTTCAGAAAGAGAGCATTGTCATTTCCCAATTGATAAAACAGCCTAATTCAAAGCATAATAATGATAATAATTCTATTTGTCACTTAGTTTTTCTTTTTTGTGTGTGTGTCTGTTTAGATGTTGGGAATTTTACTGCCAAGTGTACTGATGGGGTTCAGCATCCCAGTGAGCAAACAGCTATTTTTGATGGTGTGATTTATACAGTGAAAAACTTATATTTACAAGCTGAGAGGTTTTTGTTTTTTATTTTTTAGAATAGTGAACAAACAAGAGCCATGGTTAATATTCTTTAATTTCCTGCAGTATTTATTGTCTAAAATGTTAGCATTTTTCCCAGATAATACAAAAAATATAGATGAGTACAGCTAATCATTCTTTTTCAGATAATTTCCTGTTGTTAAATCACTGCACAGACAGTGATATCAACTAAGGGAATGCAAGAAAGTCTTGAAGTTTGTCAGCAAATGATATTTTAAATGTCAAGTCCTGGCATTATCTAGCCTTTAGAAACGTCTTCAATCTGTTTCTGTCTGAACACCCCCACACACGGAAATGTGTGTGAGTGTGAACACTGCGTTCACGCTTGAAAACTTGGAAGTAACACCATGATATCGAATCCCAAAGGGCACATGATGACCGTGACTTGATCTCAAGACAAATAAATCTGTCTTCCATTCTGTAATTCCCTTCAGTGTCAAACAATTACTGTGAGACACATTCTGAGACTAGCTAAGTAGATGCTCCCATGGAGGCAGAATCAAGACCGCCAGAGTAATGTTATGTCTCTTAAAGTGGTTTCGTACATAGTTTGCAAGCAATGTGCTGGCTTCATTTCATGACTATGAAATGCTAGCAATCAGAAAATAAAAAATCTCATAAGACTCTGTTGGAATGAGGACTATCAGGAAACGTTTCCTGCACCAGTTGTTCCAACAACACTTAAAATCACGCAAAAACAAAACAAAAACAAAAAAGGTAAAATATCTATAAAAATACATAATCTAATCTAATCATTGTTAAAGTTGTGTACTGTGCAGTACACAATGCTGCAATATTTTGTTCTGAATAATTAGAGATAGATGTACAGAATTGAGACCGTGTGTGTGTGTGTGCGTGTGTGTGTGTGAGTGTTTGTGTGTGTTTGCATGGCAACCAATAATTCTCTCTAGTTAAAGACAGTCATTACCCTGGTCAAAGAGTTACAACTAAACAAAAAGTTCAATAAAGACTACCTTTCTGTGAAATATGTCCAAATCATACATAAAGTACAAAAAGCCAATTTGTGGTTAAGTGTTGAAATAGAGTCAAAGGATGAAGAAAAAAAAACAAATCAGGTATTCTTTTTAAAGTAGCAGATACAGAGAGTGAAAGTAAAATAGTGTCTGCAGCAGTTCTCAAATAAATGCTAAATTAAAAAAAACTTATAGTTAAAGTATCTGCTACTGGGAGCTAACTCAGTGGATGACTATTTGACATTCCACGCTAAAGGCTTACCTCGCAGCCAGCTGGCCAGATCCAGCTGTGTTGCACATGAGGAGGAGGACTCTTGAGGAGCTGCTCTGGTTCAGATACTCAGACGAAAGGGGAGGTAACCTCTGAACATCAGGTCCTACAGTGGAGGTGTAAGGTGAGGATGGGAGGCTGTGGTGATACCCTGAGTGGACCAGAAATAGCAAGAAGAGCCCTTTTAGGAATGCTGATACATAGCCTGTTGTGAAATTGTTACTGATATTTCAACTTATCCAAATGTAAGGTTTTGTGAGGAAACAAACAATGAAACATTTGGCCTTTTTTTTTTTTATTGCAGACCAAGATTGTAATGACAAGGTGTATTTGATATAAATAGACCTTTAAAATGTCAGCTTTATTCAAACTTCAATTGAATGCTACAGCTTTGAAATGAGATCAGTCAATGCCAATTGATAAAACATGAAAGCAAAAAATAAGAAATAAAAAAAAAGAAATCCCCCAAAGATTCCATTATAAGAGTCAGTACTATCACACTTGAACTGAATTGGACTGAATTGGACTGTGGTTATAAAACAGCTTCAGGGCCCAGAAGGAGGAATGGCCATGAAAACACTGACCTCTAATGTGACATGTTTACACCATGATAAAGAAAAAATGGCTGTTATATCAAATTTCCCTTGATACTTGTTTACCTCAAGGGGCTGTGAAAAGGAATTTAATCTGGTAGCAAACACACTTCTACAAAAGAAAAATTGCGGTAATTAATAGTGGGTAATAGACGGAAGGGTAAACAGAAGGCACAACCTCTTGTTTCCTAGGAAACACAAACTTTGACATTATCAGAAGATTTAACTAAGCAATGCTTGTTTGATCCCTTACATGCAATTAATCAGTTCAGTACTAACTTCCAACATCCTTCATCCTTTCTGTCATTTTCACAAAAAACTTGAAGACACAGAGGAAAGCAAGCATAACTATATTAAGCCTAAATGTGATGTCTCCAAAAAAGAGGAAGACAATTACACAATGTGCCATGCAAAAGAAACTATGGGACAAAAAGGACCTTAATTCCCACTGAAGCAAATCTATTTTTAATGGAATTTAAGCCTGAAAGAAATAAAAATGGTCATTTTTTATTTTTGAGTTTGATTATTGAAACCTAAACTAAATTGTAAAGATCTATTTGGGACTGTAAGGTCTCAATTTTGACCCTAACCTCTGTTATTTCAGTTCAGCTTGAACTCCCTTGGACAAGTATTGAAGCAGTTTCTTTACGTAGTCTTCAAGAATAGTTCTCTGTGATAGGACATTTAAAAGCTCGAGACTGGACATTGACTGTCTTTTGTTCCATTCTGATAAGATTATGCCACACTATAAATAAAATACAGCATTCTGGCGTTTGGAGGGTGACAGCTTTTTATTGTGTTTCATGCAAGTTTGGTTTAACTGCATCTGGAGTAAGTTTAGGATCACTGCCATGCTAAAATATTTAAATATTTACAAGTCATTGAGTTTCAAGACTACGAAGAAGAATATCTTAACTCTCCTTTTGTTCACAATTCCAACAAAAACCTCTACCTGTGTCTCTCAGTGTTGTACCTTATTCCTGAACAACCAAGTACATGTTGGTGTTAATTTGAATAGAGAATTTTACATTTTATTTCATTCTTTTATAATTATATGACCTGCTGCAATTGACTTTCAGGATGCTTATTGAGTCTTTTGGCATACCGCACACTTTCCTCAACGATTCTCCTAATTTAGAATTGCTGATTGACTGTCAAACTTCCATGGAGATTATATCTGATGAGGCTTTAGTAAACAAGGGTTAGATGCATTGCTCAGGTCCTATGATAGTCTTTGTTGGTTGGCTGTTCTTATATATGGCTAAACTGTTCTACATATTTTCTTTGTCTAGTAACATATTTCAAACTCTTTTTGTTTAGTTCTTCATTCTGCAAAAGGATACACTGGTCATCATGCTGACACATGTCTGGTTTTTGGCTAATAGCTATTTGAGAATCTAATTGTTGCTCTCTTTACTAAATTAAGGTGCATTTTCATTACCTCAGTGATTAATCAGTCAGTGTTCAGAGACTGAAATGGAGTGAAAAATGAAGAAAGATCCCACAAGGCCTCCAAACGCCAGGAGAACTATTGGTACAGACCTCTCAGAGAGATTAAATGGAAGTCTGGCTCCTTATGTGCTTATAGACTGAGAAAGTGCTTCATTGTAAGGATTTAAAAACCATCACTGTTTGCATCCACAGCTGTAGTAGGCAGTAGAGATAGAAACGCCTCTCCAGATCGAAATGCTGTTCATTTAGTCAACCCACATTTTCTTTACATCTGGGTAGTTTAACAAGTAATTTTGAAACTAGAAAGTGACGTTGTGCATGACAAGCGTCATCATTTTTCACCAACAGGTCCCGAGTGAGTCTGGGGAACCTTCTGCCAGACTCTCAATCTCACACCACCTACCCCCTTTAGTGACAGATGAGAACTACAGCCCGAGGGAGGTGTCACAGGGGTGCAAAAAGGGAATCAGTGAGAGAGAGCTGGAGGTTAATGGAAAGACAGGCCCCTCTACTTCTTAAATGTGATAACCACAGTGAGGCACAAGATATATCAGAAAAACACAGACCCTGTGATCATCTGGTGTGATATTAGTATAAGTTGTTTGTACGGTCCTCTATGTAATCTCTTATCTGTAATTAAAAGATAAAAACTGAGCCCAATGTGAACTGATCGAGAATGAGACAGAGATGCAGAGACAGGGGAAGAGAAAGAAACCAATGGGAAAAATATGAATAAATCCTCTGATAGGAGATGGTGTGTATGGTAGGATTAATTAAATAGCTCAGTCCTCCAAAAGGCATGGCGCACCCTGTAGCACTTGCTCCCCCCTTCCAACACTTTCTTCATTTTGTTTTTCTTATTCCATCCTACTTCCTCCTGGGGACTCGACACATAATTGCCTTTTTCATTGACTGTTAGGAGTGAATCAGCTCTTAGTTTCAACAAAGCGGGCAGGTACTGGGAGGAAAAATATTAAACTAATAATAGCCGAAGGAGAAAACTTCAGACTATGCATCCCATCTGTTATGATTACTTTGTGGCTTCATGTAGACATCTGGAATTATCTCAATATCATATTAATGGATTGAAATAAAAAGATCTTACACTGATTTTTTTTCTGTGAAGACAGTAATACATTAAGCTAGTTCGTCTATGAAATAATAAACATCTTGAAGTTGACAGCGTTGAAAATATATATATATTTATCAAGTGGCTTTAAAATGATGTAGGATATACATGCATGTTGCATACAAATATCTGATGGATGATTGTAATTCTGTAGCTAAGTACTACCACATCTTTACATATGATGTGGTTCACTATTCCACATGCTGTAACCACATTAATGAACCGCTAAAAATGGATGTGGCATCTCTATTTGAAAAGTGAACCCAAAGTGAAAGTGCTTATAACCTGTGCTTTCCTGGTGTAACATTTGAGAGAGAACAGCTCTAGTAAATAAAAGATTTGGTTGGTTCTTTAATAATTTTTCAACTGAGCACAGCTGCCACTCAAACCACTACCATCGAGGTCAATTTGGGGCAAAAGGTCTTGTGTTAAGATCATTTAAGATATGAAGAAGCAGTGAAAGCTGTTTGTTCCACCACCTGAGGCAAAGTGATGGTGAGACTAAACATGTGATGAAGCTATAATTGAGGCTTCAAAATGCTACAAGAACCACGTTAAATACGGTACAAAAACACGAAAATATTTGTACAATGAGTTCTAGACAAATACCTGATGATCAGAAAATAATCTGTAACAGTTTTTTCCCTCTAGAAAAATTTATTTTCAAATATCATCCAACACCTATCAAAAATGTACTAATGTGTGAAACTGCAACAGCAACTAAGAAAGAAATAACTAAATAGAACAAACACTCAGACTGGAATGACACCTGTACAAAGCAGAGATCTTTGACAGCCATCTGACCTCACAATGGCCTTGATGGAAGCAATACACCTGAGCTTTGTTCCACCAGCAAAATGACAAAGAACATAATACACCTTATACTAGCCTCGTCTTTCCTCCCTTCCTTGACATTTGTCTTTCCCATGTCCCTAAAATACATGCTATTCATCTCCAGCTCCCCTTTTGATCTGTAATAAGAAGACACAATATTGCATCACCAGCTGCCACAACACGCAAGCCGCATCCTCATATTAAAAGAAAACAACACATGGGAGCTGCAACGCTTCAGTAATTTGAATAAGTCAGGCAATTTTGCACTTGGTTACATCACGTCTCAAATATTAGTCCAGCATGCTGAAATGTAGGCAGCTTGTGAAGCACTCTGTTAATGTGTTTCACAACAGAATAAATGTATCTTATGAGTAAAATGTGGAGGGATCTCAATTCGCAAAGTATGATATATGATATAAGGCTTAGATGTTTCAAAGAGCCAAAGTTTGCAACATCAACCCAATTCCTATGGTCATTTCACGAGTCAACTTGATGAGAATTACACTGCAAAGTAGGTCCTTTAAATCATGTTCACAAAGCTGACATCCAGAAATGTTGCACTGTCCTTGACAATTGGTGTTTATGTAATTACCCCTGGATCGTGTATTCGATGGAATGTGTAATAAACCCATTAATAACCTGATATACCATTGAAATCAAGCTGAATAAAATTTTTCTGAGTCAAAGTTGTGGTAGTTAATGTGAAAGGAGAAATAGGTTTATTTTTCAGCACATTCAATTGAGTAGAGCTCAAAATATCTAAAAAGTATATCATCTGGCCAGATGCTTTGGACAGATCTCTATTCCAAAGTCGTGTACAATCACTCATGGTTACCTGGGAAGTATGAACAAACAATGCACTGTGATATGTAATGTTTAGAAAAATGCTGCATACATGTTTTTTAGAAAGAGGAACCGGGAACAGATATCGGACAAAGGTGTATAGATGGTGTGCCTATACACCTTTGACCTGTGTGCCACGACAAAATGGTGAATATCTGAATGCTATTATAACATAACATAAAACAACAAAAAACTGAAATTCTCTGCCGTTTTGTTCATATCTAGTTGATAATAGTCAATTAATGTTATTCTAATTAAAGTAACTTGTTCTTCTTGCACATCCATCCATCCATCTATTATCAATACAGCTTATTGCCTGATGGGGTCGCGAGGGGGAACTGGAGCCCCAGTGGTCAACGGGCGAGAGGCAGGGTACAGCCTGGACAGTCCACCAGTCCATCGCAGGGCCACACAGAGACACACAAGGACAAACAACCACTCAAACTCAAATTCACTCCTAAGGGCAATTTTGGAATGTCCAATCAACCTAACATGCAGGTTTTTGGACTGTGGGAGGAAGCCGGAGAACCCGGAGAGAACCCATGCAGACAGAGGGAGAACATGCAAACTCCACCCAGAAAGGTTCTGGGTCCCCTGGGACTCGAACCCAGAACCTTCTTGCTGGGAGGCGATAGTGATATGTTGGAAATTTACTTTGAGTGTCAAACCGAATATTTGATCGAATTTCACTTCAGATGTTGGAAAATACGTTTGTTTAGGTAATCAAAAGTAGAGGTTCTAATGTGTGTGTCTTCAAAAACATATTAATGAAACATATGGTTTCCATTAGAGAGCAACATGCAAGAAAACATACATTGAATCACTGTGAACAGAACGTTAATTAAGAACACACAAGGAGACTGAAAGTGAATGATTAGCAAAATGTCCTGCTTCTTACAGAAAGTTTGTGTCTGTAGTGTTTATGACCAACAGCAAGTTGCATTGTATACCTGAGTGTGGCAAAGATCCTCCACGACTACAATGAGGAGGAGCCTGGAAGGCGTAGACGACATCACTTTCAGCAATCGTGGTCAAGTCATGATTATCTGAGAAAGAGCGCTTGAAACCAGTGGAGTACAGCTCTGACAGGATGACCTGGACACAGAGAGAAATATTTCTTTTTTATACATTTCTTAAATTATCTTTATCTAGAATCAGCTGATTTTTAAATGTTGTGCATGCAAATATACTCTATTGGAATTTCTGACCAAAAAGTCCCTTACAAAATGGACATCTTTCCACAACTATTTCAAAATAGGATTAAGGTGTAATTTTGCTTAAGTCCGATCAAACCCATGACACAACATAATACAGTTTTTTTTTATTCTGACAGTATGAACTCCTGAAACATGATTCTTTTTGGTTTGTGCGTGCACTGGAGGGACATTAAAAAAACACCAAAGTACGTACACTAAAATAACTTGCTGTATCAACTAATTCTCACATGTTACCATTTAAAACCTAATGACTTTACTTTAAATTGATGATGTTATCATTCAACCGATATTTCGAAGAATTATATTTAAAAAACAGATAGTTTAGCTATAATTAAATGAATAAATTAGATAGTAAAAAATACCCCTCGAACTGTTCTAAGTACAGTCTGTTTGTAATGGCCTTTTTCACTGAATTCAGTCTATCCCTCGCCACCCAGACAAATCTCATGCCAATTAGGAGACACCCTGAAGTAAATTCTTCATGTCATAATGGTCAAGTTAGTTTTAATTAACTTAAAAGCTCTATCTTCCGAATAAAGTCAATTCACCTTTTTAAAGGAACTGCGGTATCTTGATATATCAAGAGGAATGATAAACATATGACCTACTGTATAGAAAAAGTACTTTTAATTTTTTGACTTATTAGATACTCTTGCTCTCCTACAGCAGTTTAGAAAATGTGTATGTGTCTATATTGCCACAAAAGAAAATGAATATTTTTCCTTTCATTGTAAGTCATTGCATTGATTTGGAATCTAAGGACTCTCTATATGAGACATTTGCAGTGTGTCATCACGGTGACTTATAGATGTAGGTTTTGTTTGTAATTGCACTTGCTGTGGTCACGATATTGTATAAACTTAGTCCAAACTGGAATAATTCTTGCAAAATAACATATACACTGCAGCTGATTGTAGACTGGAGGAGTGTTACAGAAAACCAAAAACTGTACTGTCCTGTCAAACTGTTGCATAATATATACAATTGACCAACTGCAGTAGGTTGTTTTCACATACCTGATCAGGTGAGATGTTGCCCTCTGTTGCTACCATAGATCTCAGGGAGGATACAGATCCGAAAAGCGGCACAGCAAGCCCCACCCGCAGATACCTATGACTCTTTGCATTGAACACCAATGTCACAAACATCGGCCTATGGGGCAGAACAGAAGGAGAACATGGAGCACCATAAAATTTGTGCGTAATTTTAGGTGTGGAGGTAAAGAGGGACAGAAAGACAGAAAGATTAAGACTACACTGTTTAGTAGTTCTAATATTATGGCTACTACCAATACTACACAGTCAAAGCCAAACCTGGCATACTGACTTAGATACATATTTAGACACACACACACATACTTTCTATAGATGCACAAACTGTCAAAAGCCCAAAAAGAGATAAATGGATCTCTGCAGAACTCTTACTCTTACTGTAGTAAAACAAAAACAACAAAAAAAGTGTGTCCTCCAGATTATTGTGGTATTTGACAGAATAAAAGTGAAAAGAGGTTTGAGCTGCTTGGTGTTGTTTATTATGTTTGGGAAACAATTTCTTTCATTCACATTCATCATTTGCTATCTATTTTTTCTCTTCCAATATATAAAGTAATTGAATGTCTTAAGATTTTGCCTTTGTATGATAACTTCATTTTTTTATTCATGTATGCCAGATAGGACACATGAAAGAAAACAAGGCCCTCATGGAGTTGCCATGTGCTCAGACATGCCTTATATAATTTTATTTAAGAATGATTGGTGCAGAGCTTAACATTTCCTGGGGAAGCTGCAGGGATGAATAGTGGTGGAAAAGCAAAAAGATCCAATTTGGTCAGTGGATTACAGGAGTGAAGAGGAGAAAAATGCAAAACAAGAGAATATGCAAAAACATTGCAGGAAAGAAAAAATAAGGTTATGCCATTTAAACTGTGATGAACATTATGTAGTCAGTGACACCTTTACAACCCATTTCCCAACATGCAATATTCAGGTGAGTAACATCTTTTCAGTGGGGAGAATGGAAAGTCAGACAGTGGAGGATCTGAGGAGCCGTTTTGTTTGCATTACTCCAGGATTAATTGCAGGCATGTGAAATGAGATGAGAAGGAGCTCGGGAGGAGCAGTAAATACAGATGCTCCAAAGAGGAAGACTGCATTCCCTGTAGGTTCAAAGCCTGATTGTCTCCATTAAACAACAACTTCTTCTATGTTCCAACATCTGCCCACACGATTCCTTGCTTTTTGTTTGTAAAGAACTAAAAATAGTATTTTGTGTTCCTTTAAGCTGTAGATAAAATCATTTGACTGTTTATATGATCTGAACACTTTGTTTATTTTTATTTGCTGTCATTCACATCATCGTTAGAATTCATTACCTTCATAAAACTCTTTCGAGAAAATTGTTATAAAATTCTTTTAATAGATAAAAATACATTTGAATTATATATAAGTGACCATTGTTTTGTATCCTGTCTGCCAAATGCATAAACATAAACACACATAAACAAAAGGGAAAAGATGGACAAAGGAAAGGAAGACAACATAGACCTGAATTTGAGACCTGCTTAATCAGCAAGGCAGCATCTTGTTTCATTTTTGCCCTATTTTCTTAATATAGATAAGTGTTTCCCCTCTTCAGTGAGTTGCGTCTTTCTTGTTGCTTTTTACTGATGGTTTAAGTAGATGGTCACCCTTCCTGAGTCCTGAGAATGGGGGATCAAAGAGTTGCTGGTTTCCTTATCCATGACCTTTTTCAATCAGCTCTGTATAAATTGGATGTATTTACAATTTACTGATTGGATAATAATTGCATTAAAGTAAATTAATGATGAAACTATATTTATTAAGAAATTACAGTAATCTTGAAAACAAATAAAGTGGGATTAGATTTAGAAATATATTTTATACTGATTGTTTGAAATATTAAATCCATAAAAAAACATGTAACTTTTAATTCTTGTTTTTCATTTGCAGATAACAGCCATGTTTAAATATTGGTTATTATTAGTAAAAATAGAACCAAGAATGGTTATAGCTAACTAAGAGATCAAAGACAGATGTGCATACATATTAAAACCTCAGAACAAGAGTAAATACAATATGGAAGCTAACAAAATGAAAAAAGAAAAATACATGCCACTCATGAGTAATCATTGGTAACTATTATTTACTAAATAAAAAGTTTACATACTAGCATTTTTCAAGTGCAGTGAAGTTGTTGCTGTGATCTCACACATTACATAAAATTGAGTTCAATTTCACTATGCTGGAGCAGATTCTCAGTATCCAGGCCATAATAAGCCCAAAAGATTCGATAAAGGCAACTGGGCATATTTGCTCTTGAAGACATTTGACATATCATCTGGTAGGTTTCTCAAGAACTGGTGAAACATCGAGATCACAGAAGATGTGCGGTTGCCTTCAGCCATCTTTACAGGCCACATTCTGCCAATGTAGACCACCTGTGCCCTTTTTTACAATAAAATATTTAAAAACCATGAATTTTAAATCTTAACCTCTTAGGATCTTGAAGGGTTTACCAGATTAGAAATGTGTCTTTCAAAATCCCTTAATCTTACTCATCTTGATTCTGAGACTGTATACAATGTAACTCATCATTGTTAAAGTTGTCATGATGTGTAATCACCTGCATCCTCATTTACTTATTCACCAACAAACAGATGAGAAAAAAATCATTGAACGATAAATGTTTTGCCCTAAAAGCCTTTCAACTTGCAGAAACATGCAGACATGTACATCAAAACCATAATCATACTTTAACTGTCATTTAAAGAAATTAAATGAAAAATAACATTGAAAACTATGCTTAACAGGAGAAGAACAAGAAGCAACGTTGAAAGCCTGAGTGAAACAATGCGCCACAAACTGGGCAAATCTTTTAACATGCATGCTCTTAAGTTTGAAAAAAAAAGGTACAACCACATCATAATAGCAAAGTCTTTCAACATCTTCCAGGCTGAAACTGTAGATGCACAATGTTCATTATCCTTTTGATGAGCATGTATCTCAAGTGGACATTATTGTCCATCAACAGACCATCAGTTATCAAATTAGGGTAATCTGAAATGCACGTTATCTTAATTGGGACATAGATGATTTTCTTCTTCACTCTTAACTAATTTCAGACTCCCATTTCACCATGGTATTCAAGAAGGATCAAACCAAACACTGGCTCTTAACTTGACAATAAGGGTATTTAAAAGATATTTAGCTTTTTAAAAATATCTTCAAGACCAAATAAGTAGTCCATTTGCCCTTATTGAGAATCTGCAACAATTTGCACTTAATATTTTTTTAACAGAAGCGTTCTACATCATATTTTGATCAAGATCACCCAAAAAAAAACATTTGCAAATGATGCCCAAAAATCGTTTCAACTATCTTACTTTTATCTTAAAACGCTTTTTAACATTTTCTCAGATTAAATTTGACTTTTCGTAAATATGGCTTTTCGTAAAAAGGCAGCCATTGCTGTCAAAGGTTGGAAGGCTGGTGGAAGAGACTGCCATCTCTTCTCTCTCTCTGTCCCTCTTCCTGCCATTATCTGCAGTGGCCATGATTGGATGTCATGTTGGTAGCCAAACTCTGCTGCCTCTCAGGGGTTCTAAGACTTATCAGGCATTCAGCTGGGAAACTGCTGCAGCAGGATAATACATTGAGGCCCCTGTGTGTCTGTGCATGTCAGGCCAGTGTGGAGTCAGTGGAGTCCACCGCAAGCTCAACAAAATTTCCCTCTGGGCAACCTTAGCGGCCGTCAGCATGCTGTCAGATAACTCAAGTTACATCACTGAGTTTAGAAATTGCTTGACGGAAGCCATGGAGAAAGGCCGCATAGCAGTGGGATCTGCATGCTTGAAGATAGGAGGATTCATTAAGTACTGAATGCAAAAAAGTTGTAAAACAGGAGCTGATGTTGTTCTGATGCTTTAATAAGCTATTTAGCTGTTCATTCTTTGGCTGAATGAGCAGATAGAGAAATAACATAACATCTAAAAACAATTAAAAAAAAGAAAATATTCAGATTCTGTGGCTAAGATACCCCAAATTCAACTTTTTTTTAAACGCTCAGCACACAAATGCATATTTTCCTGCTGATTAGACATTGCTTCAACTGAAGGTGAGCTGGAGCTTTGATGGGAATGGCTTGGTAAAGCATGGTAAGGACTCTTCTGATAAAGAAAAATGACAAGGATACCCAAAGGTTCACTGACCAGGACAGCACATGTTTTTCATGTGTCAATAAACACATGGAAGATATCAGTTTCCTTTGAGATGAGAATGGAGGCTGTCCGATAGTATATGGTACTCCAAACAACATATACCTTTTGAGTTTTCATTTTTGAGTGACACAACATTCTTTGTGTACAATCCTTCAGAATAAATTTTTGCATTCTCTGTTCATGCACAGCCACAAGCTGGATTTGAAGCACATTTACCGTGGTTACTTCACTGAGCATCATGTCACCTTAGCAGCTTCAAGCAATCAGTTCTTGTCTTTATAACTAAAAGGCAAAGATGGAATGTGTAACATGCAGAAGAGATCATTTGTACACTGAAAGAAGTTTCCCACTGTCTCCCCTGATCTTCATTCCACAGCACATCCTGATGCAATCACTTCCACTTGGAAATAAAACACAACACATCCATATGATAGTGGATAAATTGGACTTTTCAGGGTTACCATATTCTCCCAGAGCGTATTGGTCCATTTTGAGCATTTTGTCAACGGAATGTAAACCTTTCGACCTATTTGGTATTTTTCCAGCTTCAAAATATTCAGTGTGCAGAATTTTTCTGACATTTTACTGTCAATCAATTAAGTTTTTTTAAGCCTCCTGAGATGAAAATGGAGACATAGGGTTTGTCTAGCAAATGTTACTCTTCTTTGCTTTGGTGGCTCAGCTGCATCATTTAGGGGGCAAATAAAACAAACAGTTATATAGAATATAAACACCCCCATGTTCATCCTTTCTTCATATGATGAAGTCATGCAGCAGCACATTGCTGACATGCAGCTTATGGAACAGTTAAAAATGGAAACCACACAAAAACTGCCTGGTCAGGGACTTTTGACAGCCAACATTTATCACTTTATAATGACCATATGTTGGGTGTGTACCTAGCCAGCCTGTGCAGGTGTGTGTTTGCACATTTCAAAATGTATGTAGTTTTAGCTCTGACTACCCAAACAGTAGAAGATCTGCTATACTAAGAACGTTTTATGTCCAAAGTTGTCAAGCATCTGGCAGTTACCGAGAGACATTATTGTTGGCAACAACTTTTGGTAGGATCTTTAAACTACTGGTCCCATCATCACATACTTCAAATGCATATTCAGACAACCAAAGTGAAGACAATAGTAACCTACAAAAACAGTCAAACAACATAATGCCGAAGGTGGATTCAGGTTGTGCAGAAACAAAAGGTAAAATATTACATCTGATTGACACAATCAGATTTATAATATATGTTTTCATTCAAAAGCCATCAAGACAGAAACTTCCAACAACTGGAAATGCTGCCACTGGTGCAAGAGTATTTCACAGGTTGTATGTGTTGTTCCCTGGTGCTGAACATTGAACTGAAGGCAAGAAAAGCCAAACATTATGAGGCCTACTTGCTGGGATATTCAGATATGTAATTTTCCATTTTGTCCCTGAAATAAAAGACGTGCCTTGGAATTTTTAACCCATCCTGTATCTTAAACTATTTATGATCTAAATATATTCCTTAGATTACTTTAAAATTGAAAAAAATACACTAATCAGACATATAAAGACCCAAGCTAACAAGCAAATCAATTATACCTTTGTAATAATGTAATGAATACATAAGTCAGTTCTAGTACACTGTCAGATATACAGTACAAGACAAAACATGTAAATTAGTTCAGATTAGAACATTTTAAATAAATTCAAATTGCTCTGTGGGTTATACATCACCTGGTTTGTCGAAGAGGAATGGGGAGAGAGATGCATAAAAATGGGTCAAATGTGTTGCTTTGTTTAAGGCAGTGAGGGCATGTCAGAGAAGACCTGGAGAGAAGCACAGAGACAGACGGAACATTTTTGTAAAATCTTTGTTGAAAATGATAAATTTGTGGATAATTTTTATGACAAATCTCATTTTATCAAGAGCCATGATGAGTAGAAATACTTTAACTTAAAAAGGTATACTGTTGGACAGATATGTTGACAGATATTGCACTATATGGCAAATACTTGAGAAAAAAAAAAACTTTTGGGGTTTCTCCTGTATTTTTTTGTTTTCCTGGAGACAGCTGGGGGAGTGGCTTCGTTTTTTCACATACCTGCAGACAATACCAGGGACCATAAGAGGCAATGCAATGCAAGATAATTCTGCTTCATCCGTCTCAGCCAGTATTCTAAGAGATTTTCTAGATTGATGTTTCAGAGAGTTTTCCAACTCTTCCAACACTTTCTTTTTATTTCTCACAGATTGCAATCTCAACTCGAGTTCCTTCCCAAGTAGCCAATAAAAGTAACCAATGTTGTTGCATGTGGGTCCCACCAGAAACCTAAGTACTGATATTGAAACTTTAGTCTGGAGGAAAAATTAGACTCATCTCAGTTTTTATTACAGCAAAAGCAATAAAGTACTAATAATTGAAATAATCATCCAAATCTAAAGCATGAGTAAAGGTTTATTCCAAAGTTAAAGATAGAGGCTTTTCTTCAAGACTTCCTAAAGTGCTGCCTGAATTTCACCATAACAGCAAAAATGAAAAAGTCACATGGCAAACTGAATTTACAAATGGGAGAAAACCATAATAAAAGGTTGGCTAAAGTGCATGGTATATCTTCTAAAGTGAATGGGGCATGATATTTTCCAATAATTACATTTTGCATCATAGACACATCAGCTTTACACGATTCATAAATTATGTAAACTAGTATTGCGCAACTAATTTTGAAAGAGAGAGTATTTTTCTTGAAGAAGGCATATTTCTGAGAATGAGAGGACTTTGGTAGTGTTTTTATGCACGGTTTATGGTAGTTTATGAGGTTGCACTAATTCAGTTGTTGCTCTAGGGAGCTACAGTGGCACAAAAATTAGTAATAGGGGGGCCTGCCGCTGGCAGTGGCCCCCCAATAAAACCTTTCGATAAAAAAAGGGAACGTTTTCAAGGATGACAGCACTTTATTTATTATTTATTTGCTGAACATTTTCAGTCAAGAAGCAGTTCAGAATGCAAGCACGTGCAGAATGACAAACAAATATAAGTAAAATCCCATATTTGTGAGCAACTGGGGAAGAAATAAGTGGATATAAGTATCTATTGTATACAAGCGTATTAACCCAAAGTGGCTTGGCTGTCTTTTCACTCAGTTTAAACATGTTGTTTCCTTACATTATATGTATATGTTTAATGTCAACAAATAACAGACATTTGAGATAGATCCCACCCGTTTCCATTCAGACTTCTGCCCTTTAGGTGTTGGAACAGCCTTGATTGTCAGGTTCAGTTTTCACAATAAAGCCAGCAAAAGATTAGCTCTTGCTCCAATGTATTTAGATCTTTGGGGAAACCGTCACAACTGAAAACATGCTGTTAAACTGCTCACAGTTAGCAAGCAAAGAAAAGCATGGCATGTAAACTTATATAGATGTGAGAAATTAGGTGGCTTTGATCTTTTTAGATGTTGATGCATTCAAGAACAAGTTTGTTACCAAAAAAAATTAAGTTTAGAGGTCACTTTCAGTTCCACTAAACTGTACTGTGATTGACATTTGAACCTTATACTAAAACATGTTATTTGTTTCTGCAAATATCCTCAACAAATATCCTTTTTTATCCTTTTAAAAAAGGATAAAAGCAAAAAAAATTGTACCTTGACAACATTTTGCCAGCTACTTTCATGCAGTAACTGGACATAATCCACTTTAAAGTAAGGTTCAATGGAATTGGGGGCGTCAGCAGGAGGTTACATGCTGGGTGAGGCTGGGTTTGAGGAAAGCACTGTGGGTGGCAAAGCATCAAAAGTGAAGAAGGTCAATGTTAGACCGTATTTTTAGCCCCCTCAGAGTAACAGCGTGAAATGACTGATATGAGTAGTGTATACTATAAAAGTAGAAAGATTCCACAACAAGGTTAAACTGACATCTTAAAACAGAAAAAAGTGGGGGAAAAAACAAGCATTCTTCAGAACCACTGGATCCTAATCCAATTCTTTAAAGACAAAGAGGTCGTCCTGGAAGACACATCACCACCAAAAAAAACACAGACCAATCACAAAAAGATGTTCAACTGTCATAGATTGAGTTCAGAGAAAGAAAAAAGAAAGAAAGAAAGAAAGAAAGAAAAACATTGTTGTAGAAAAAAATCCACAACAATGTTAAACTGACATCTTAAAAAATAAAAAAGTGAAAAAGCTTCCACTCAACACCACCAACAACCAGTGGGAGGGAAGAAAGGCAGTAATGATGGATGGATGAATGAATGAATGAATGGATGGATGGATGCATGGATGGATGGATGGATGGATGGATGGATGGATGGATGGATGGATG